AAAATGATAAAAGAGTTTGAGATACAAGAAGAAAAGATGAACAAAGAAGTGTATGAGGATAGATAAACCTAAGTAAACTGATTGACTGCATGATACAATAATAATGTCCAATTTTGAAGGGAGGTTAAAAAAAAAAAAAACAGAGATCCTCAAAAAACAAAAAAACCCAGAACTACCATATGATCCAGCAATTACACTTCTGAGTATTTATCTGAAGAAAGCAAAAACACTAACTGAAAAGATATGTCAACCCCCATGTTCACTGCAGCATCATTTATAATAGTCAAGATATGGAAACAACCTAAGTGCCCACGAATGGGTGGATGCACAAAGAAAATGTGGTACAGATAGGTCTGTATGTATATACACACACACACTGGATTATTCACTCTTAAGAAAGAATGAACTCTTGCCATTTGCAACAATATGGATGGGCCTTGAGGGCATGATGCTAAGTGAAATAAGTCAGACAGAGAAGGACAAATATATGATCCCACTTACATATGGAATCTAAAAAAGAAAAAAGCTCAAAGATATAGAGAATAGATTGGTGGTCGCCAGTGGTGGGGGTGGAGGGTGAAGGAAGTCAAAAGGTACACACTTTTAGCTATAAAATAAATAAGTCATGGGGATGTAATGTACATTATGGTGACTACAGTTAATAACACTGTATTGTTATCTGGAAACTGCTGAGAGAGTAGATCTTAAAGTTCTCATCACAATAAAAAATTTTATAAGTATGTGTGGTGATGTTACCATAGCGATCATTTCACAATATTTACAAATACTGGATCAATATGTTGTACATCTGAAACGAATGTAAAGTTCTATGTCAATTATATCTCAATTTTAAAAATCTGATAGGTATTAAAACCAAGTATATTCCAAATTTGACTTGTCAAGACTTTCAGTGGACTTGTAAAGGAAAAAAATTTTTGGTACAGTGGTTTCTGGTACCAAAGAGGTGTGCTTATAGTTTTAGAATCTTACTATAATCCTTCACATTGAAAGTTCAAGTACAAAACCACTGGTAATTCTCTCTAGTTTTCAAGAATAAATAAAGGAATATAAAGTGCACACACACACCCACACACACACACACCCACCAGAGAATGAAAATGCTGGATATCAATAACTTTTAAAAAAAAAAAAAAAAAGGGAAGGACAGTGACTGGAGTTCAAGTGTTTCAGAGATTGTGATTAACTTCAGATTTTTAGTTAAGTACACGTGTTAAATATTCAATAATAACCCTAGAAGAAGAAAACAGACTCTACTTTCAGGTCAACAGAAGGAAGTAAAAGTAAAGCAACTGACTAAATTACAACATGTTACATAACTTCAGCTTGGCCCTCACAGCACTAGGCAATTCTTTCCTTCATCTGCTTATTCTATCACATTTCTTACAGTCACAATTCCCAACTTTTTCAACCAGAACTCCTCCTACAATATCCCCATGCTACAAAATAACATTCCCTACCACTTTACTAAGAAATATGAAGCTATCTATGTATCCTCATCTGGCCTAAGTTAATAGTAACAGCTTTGCTCCAACAACTGAACCCCTTGTTGCTCTATATTGATAGGGTAACCTCATTTGCCTCCTACAAATGTACTCAGTTCTGTTTCAACCTAAAATATCCTCCCCTCAATGCTGCTATCCCTTTTAAAGTCAAGTCCTTCTTAGTTTCTGATTCTGAATTATACATAATCCATAGTCATAAAGGGTAGAAAACTTAGCTTCTGTTTTCTTACTAGATTTGTCTTTTCAAAATGATATTGGAAACTGGATCAGGATAGGCATGATCACAGGAGGTCCCATAAAGCAAAGACTGCATATATAATTAGTTTTCTTTATATAGCATCGTGAGCAAGTGGACATAGAATAAATACTTAAAGTCTTCTTTTATATACCTACCATTGCTTTCTTACATTTGTGAGGGTTAGAAAATTGTGACAATTTAATCTATGTTCAAGTCTGAGAACCACTTACCCTTTTTCAGTTTCCGGACAGCCAACATACAATGACTAGGAGAGAGATCCCATATTCTTAAGGTTTTATCGTCACTTACAGTAGCGCAGATGGGCAGATAAGGATGTGTAGCCAAACCCCACACCTCTCCTTCCATGTGTCCCTATAAAAAAAACAGTTAAGATCAATGTAACCTAATGATATTTGTATTTAGAAGAAAATTAAATACAACAATCAATAATATATGATAATGATAGGATAGTAAATGATAGATAAATCTAATAAAACTTTTCTCTTTATCTTAGGAATGTACCTTAAAATACCTTCATAACAACTTTATCTCCACAGTTGCAATGTAATCAAGTTACTATTAAAATCAGCTTCAAAATCCTACAACATTCACTGGGTGAAGAAAATAGGAATGGGCTGCCCTGCAATGTTAATAATTGCCATACAGGAGGGACCTCCTGCATGACCGAGGAAGGAGCGCTGAAGACCTGCTAATCAGTGAAACGGGTGGAAATTATTTAAAAGAAAAGTAAGTCTCTGGAAATGGTTTCAAGGAGATAAAACAAATGAAGAAACATTTACTCAAGAAAATCTGCTAAAATTCAGTAAGACAGCGAGAGTTTACTGTATTTGAACCGAGACTCACTCCTTTTCTCCCTCTTCACAACTCACGGACATGAAAACTCCATACCAGATTGATGTAACCAAGAATATGAGCTGTCTCTCTCCCCAGCCATTAGTTGGGAAGCTTTCTTCCCAGAAGGTCTTCCCAGCGTCTTCCACCCAGCTCCCAGTTACTTGCTATTGAGGCTAATTCTTGTAACTACCGCTGAGAGGTGGGAGCTCCTTTTTTCTACCCACCTCCTATTCTGAGATGGAAGCTCTATCTTAGATGCAGTGTCACTGAGGCCTCAACATCAATCCAAGAAGATCTGAGGCTACTGCTCCGTCCCCACCAACTGAGCATTCAGATCTAAAGCAAGGGACACTCAAGAACAAAGAAGCATTCCATGTTTTCATGCTCAAATCCAGAACCTTGAATAAGAAAATTTTCCTGGAGGGAGAAGCAAGCCATAAAACTGTTCCTAGCCTCTTCTCAAAGGAACTGATTTCATTTACTACAGTGTGGGAAAGCTGAAGCCTAAAGGTGTTCTCAAAAACAATGGAGGTTGTGATGAAAGATTAATTGGGAGGCAACTGATAAACTCAATGGACATGAAGGCTAAATTGAAGATCAGCTAGCTTGTCTAGGAGAAACAGGAAAATCTCATAGATTAGCTGGGAGGAGATGCTTAAATTCAGAACAAACCTCAAACATTTAATCTAGGGAAATATCCCTTTTAGGAAGCCTAAATTTGATTGGTTTAGTCTGTGGAGCAATTTATGTTTCAGGGAAATGTTGAAAACAATAATCAGTGATCAATTAATAGAGCTTAACAGCTGGACATGGTTAGGGAAAGACGCCATCAAAGAGGAGAGAACCCTTCTTAAATCATTTTATGGAGCCAACATTATCCTGATACCAAAACTATACAGACATCACACACAAAAAAACTACAAACCAATATCCCTTATAAATTTGGATCCTAAAAATCCTCAACAAAGTATGAGCAAACTGATTTCAACAACATACAAAAAGAATTATATACCATGACAAAATGGGATCAATCCCAGGAATGCAAGGTTGGCTTAATACACAAGAACCAATTAATGCAATATACCACTTGCTTTTGATAAGTGATTCTGACAAATTACACAATCTTTTATAATAAAAACATGCAACAAACTAGGAATAAAAGAGTCATTCCTCAATCTGATAAAGGACATCTATGAAAAATCCATGGTTAACACAATTCTTACTGGTAGAAGACTAGGAGCTTCCTCCCTAAAACTAGAAACAAGACAAGGATGTTTATTCTTATTACTTCTATTTAACACAGCACTAGCAGCTCCAGGCAGGATACTTAGGTAAGAAAAATAAGTAACAGATATCCAGATTGGAGAGGGAGAAGTAAAACTATCTCTGTTTGCAGATGACATGATCTTGTACAGCATATAGAAAATCCTAAAAATTCCACCAAAAAACTATTAGAACTAACAAATGAGGTAAGTTATTTTAACAAAATAACTACAAGACATGTACACTGAAAACTATGAAACATTGTTGAAAAAAGTTAAAGAAAATCTAAATAAACAGAGATCTCATGTTCATGGATACGAAGACTTAATATTTTGTTTAGAGGCACTAGTTCTCAAACTTATCCATAGACTATTGCTGCTACAGTGTTGTACATGTTTTTTGGGTATACACATGAGTGCACCTCTGTTGTGTACAAACATTCCCACACTTTTAATTACTATAATTTTATATTATCTTTATATCTAGCATGGAGATTTTTTCTTTTTTAAATTTTTATTTTATTTTATTGAGTTATAGTCAGTTTACAATGTTGTGTCAGTTTCCAATGTAGAGCACAATTCTTCAGTCATACATGAACATATATATATTCATTGCCACATTCTTTTTCACTGTGAGCTACCACAAGAACTTGTATATATTTCCCTGTGCTATACAGTATAAACTTGTTTATGTATTCTATATATACCTGTCAGTATCTACAAATTTCAAACTCCCAGTCTGTCCCTTCCCACCCCCTTCCCCACTGGCAACCACAAGTTTGTATTCTATGCCTATGAGTCTGTTTCTGTTTTATATTTAAGTTCATTTGTCTTC